GAGTTCCCTCATCTCAATGTGATTCTGGCTGTGTGGAGTCTGCGTGTTCTGTCTGAGCATGTGTGGTTTTTCATCAGGTGCTCTGGTTTCCTCCAGTCTCTGAAAAACATGCAGGTTATGGTGACTTGCATCTCTAAATTGTCCCTTCTTGGAGGGCAGGGGTTCAGGTTATAGTATGTTCATATAGTGTTTTCATACTTGGGTATGGGAGGGTGTTCCCAGTACACCCAATTCTGGTTGTGAGATTACTGACAAACAGGCTGCTTTTCTGATGATCTGTGCATCAAACAAGTACACACATAAAGTGAAAACGGTCTGGCTCACCACTGCACTGCCTACATGATGCACATGATGATGCCTACTGATGATGCACCTAAAAGGAAACACCCCATCCCCCAGAATAGCCCCTAATGCGCACAAATGATTGCATTTGTTATTGATTTCTCTCTCCCTTACAGGTATTTATAGTACGTCTCAAAGCGAGATGTATTTACCAGTTTCCTGGCCTTGCTGTTGTCCTTACCAGGAAAATATAAGATGGGCATCTCAACCAAACTGCTGAGTCAAAAAAAAACAACCACCACCAACTCCTGTAGCAAATAACAGGATGTTTTACTGTGGTACTCATCAGAAAGGCGAAAAATTTGCTCACTGTCGTTTGCAAGAGGGGTTTAATAATGCCTCAACATCTTGTCCTTTTCTAATTACAATTATTCACACCTCTCAAAGGTGTCTGTGTGCTGCCTTATAAACATCTGCCGTGGTAAAGTTAAGGGCTTGGTAAGGTACAGAAAAGAATAGTGAGATCATGGTAATAGTTAAAAATGCACAGCCTTAGGTGGTGAGGCACCAGGCCGAATGTGCCAGGCTGTGGCGAAGCGATACAAAGCAAGGTATAGGCATGGGAGAACTGTAACGATTGTGCAGATTTAGCATGTCAAGGTTTCAGAAGGTTTCAGAAGGACAGGTGCAATATTTTTAGGGCCCCACAAAGAGGCTTTCAAACCTTTCTTGCTCCGCTGTAAAACTGAATGCAACTGATTTCTCAAAATGGAAAAAGTGGGTATAGAAAAACAAATTAATTAGCTTCTCTTCCGTGAGCTTCCCTTAACCTCACAGCACCCAGGTTAAATGAAATCGTCAGAGCGGTGGCACTGTGGCTAAGGATCTGTGTCTGTGGCTGAAAGGTTGCCGTTCAAATCCTGTGGCCGTTGGGCTCCTGAACAAGGCCCTTAACCCCAACTGCTCTAGGAGTGCTGTACAATGGCAGACCCTGTGCTCTGACCCCAAGCTTCTCTCTGTCTGTGTGTCTCATGGAGAGCAAGTTGGGGTATGCGAAAAGACAATTTCCTAATGCAAGAAATTGTATATGGCCAAAAAAGTTATCTTATCTTTATCTTAATAGCACAAGTGACATGTCACAGATACGTTACAAGTTACGTTTCTGCAGGACCGATTCCAAACCCAAAGCCCAGGCTGTAGATTGTGCCTTTTCTGCTCTGCCTTCTTGTTTGCCTATACGGTTGCAGCTTTGAACTTGCTCACTGTCAGAAAATGGGGAGAAATAATCTAATTACAACTAACACTTGGAGAACGAGCTTGCTATCGGCATTGAATCAATAAAATCAATTTTATTTGACTGCTTAAAAAATACTGCCAAGACCAGTACGTAATAACTTCTTAATATAACTATGCTACATACTCAAATATCATTTTTGTTCACTCTGTCAAAATCTTTTCTGATGGTTATAGGAGCGTGCCATAACTAAATTCTGTAGTTACCAATAATAAGCAAATATCAGAAGTGTGATTGCTAGCAGGTTGATAGTTATGTTAGATGGTTTTGAAGCCATTCCACTGATTCACAGTGCAGTATCCTGACCTGTTTATGCTCTGTATGCCTGACTATTAACAGAAAGGCTCTTACAGTATTCCTGGTCAGGCACATCCTGTATCAGAGATTTTAAAACAACTGATAGTAAATTCACAGCTCACTTCCAAGTCTCTATTAAGTCACTTTGGACAAAATGGTAATGGACCCATTATTTAAATTATTAATTAAAGGTAATTGCTCCTCTCTTTAATTAAAAGTAATATATATATATTAATAAATCTAATTTCTGTAAGACTCACAAGACTTTGAGATCAGGTCGTGAAATATTTCATTTTTATGGTTCTTTTCGGGAAATCGTAAATATGGTTTATTTATGTTAGTTCAACTTCTACACTCACAGCCTCTGTAAAGAATAACTGGTTAAAATGCCCTCCATCATTTATGAAAGCGCTGTCGTTCAATGTCAGTGAACGACATTGAAATTATCTTGTGTTTATGAAGAACAATTTTGCTTTAAAAATAATCACATCATTAAACACGGCATTTTTCAATTTGCCGAGTAAAATAGCACTAAAACGTTAAATATTAGTCCTGTCAACAATAACCACCTTCTGAGGGGGAAAGGGTTATTTAAATCATTATTGTTCTACTGCTTCATTTTTGAGGCAGAGTTATGCAATGAACACAATCTCAAAAATCGGAGCAAGACCTTTTCAGCTAGCTGTTTTCTTGCCAGTGGTTTTCGGGATTTAAAATGTTAAAACCACGAAGTCGACCACGAAAGGAGACGAACACTGAAACCATTAAAAAGATCAGCTGAGACTGACTACACTTTGATTCGAACTCTGAAAGCCCGTGGTATTAAACACTAACATTAATTTAAATTTACCGACTACCAGCAACACGAGAGCGTCAATTGTGTTTCCCCTTGTTCAGGCACTTGAAATAAAGTATTTTGATTTTCTACGTGTATTTTTACTCTGGGGACATTCATGACTGGCAGTGGAAACTCTAAATACAGATATTTAAAAGTTTAAAAAAGTATTTTAAACATGCTCTCTGCAAAACACTTCATCACCAGATTAAAAAGACTTTTGTTAGAAGCGTCCCGAAATATTTTTTAATAATTTAACATTGGTACAACATAAAAACTATTTTTTCATTTTCTTTCAACGCCGCACATGTTCAAAGCATTCTAAAAACTTTTAGATATTTTTAAACTATACACAGTAAAACTACATATTTCAACGATGCATAATTCTTTCTCCACTTTCGACTGCGATGTCCTAAAACGCTTAAAATAATCTCTATTATTTAATTGTGTTGAAAATGCATTTCCATCATAAAATTCAAATTTACAAAAATGAACATCCGACCACAAATTTTGCTCAATAAGCGAAATAAACATATTACCGAAAAATTAAAACAATAGATTTCTGAAAAAGTTCAGGTGGGCGGCTGCGTCAGCATGCGTAGGCTACAAAGGAACAAGTAAAGGTTTATTCCCTGCTGAAAAGAGAAGAAAAAACACAACATTTAGGCTGTGGAGCCCTTTTCGGGTGTCACACCCGAAACGTTGTGATTTCTTTCTTCTCTTTTCAGCGTGGAATAAACCTATTACTGATTTCGGAAAAATACTGTTTAACCATATAGACTAATCCCGAAACGAGAGAAGCCGTTCGAAATTAAAGAAGATTTAATATTATTTAAAAAAAACATTCGAAAATCCTTCTTAATTGTGCTAATTATGAGCTATTTAACTCAGTTGAAGTTAACCTTACCTTTGTGAGAAATGTTCTCGCGTGGAAAAAGTCTTCTTGGAATTCACTCATTTTTGATAAGACAACTCAATGCGTGAAACCGCAAAATTATAATTAGTTTGCTTGAGGCGAGTTAAAAAATTAGGCTTTGGATTCCTGTTGCTGCGCTGTGTCTTTTTTAATAATGAAAATATGCTGGTAAAAACTGTCATGTTGAGACGGAGCAACTTGAGTTCCGTTTGTGGGATTAACATTGTTTGAAGTTACAGCAAGAGCCCAGGCGCAAAGTCGAGTCACAAACTACTATAGAAAAACTATACAAACTATAATTTCATCCTCACGGTTAGAGGTGCCTGCACAGGTTTTTTTTTTTCATCTCCAAAACAATTGTATGTCAATGGCTTTCGTCTAATCAATATCCGTTTATTTTTGTTACGAGACGTAAAACTTTTTTTTTATTTAGTCATTATATTTTCTATAGCGCCTTGGAAATCAGTCATCTTAAAAAAAATCTGTTTTGTTTAGTTCAGCTTCACAAAGTTCAAGTACGATTTAAAAAAACCGTGTTTGACACACGAGAAAATGTGTCTCGGGACCCTCGTAAACGATTCTTTAGTTAACAGAGTCTCAGTTTATTCTACACATGACAGAGTGACGGTGCTCTGAGCGGCTGTTAATCTTGCAGTTTTTACCCTGCACTGTAAACGCCGGCTCTCACGTTCTTCTTTTATTCTGGGCGCTCTCGTTTGGTTCGGTGGCGGTTTGCCCCACTGTCTCTTTCGGGTTTAATTCAACTGGTTTTAATGCTCAAATTCACTTTCTGGTCTATAAATGTTGACTGGAATGTATCAGACATCTTTTTTAAGCCGCCTGCCAGTCCAAGACGTCCAGAACTCCCGTCATTTAAGTGCGTTACCAAAAATGCAAGCCCGTGGACAGCTGCACAGTATATGAAACACCCCTACAATGGACAGTGAATCACCTATTATGTAATGCCTATTTAGCCAAATTGCTTACCGTTTTGTACACTGAAGTTGTTCGAAAGTACGTTTGAAGTCGGATATTTAAAACCTAAAAACGCAGAAACAATCCTTGTTTATTATTATTATTATTATTATTATTATTATTATTATTATTATTATTATTATTATGTGCTCTTAATTTTCACCACTAAACCACTGTCCAATAACATTTGTTTGTTTTGTTTTCTAGTCCAGTATAATTCCTGGGACATTCATTTCTATTCAGTTAAAACTTTTGCAGTTTTGTCTACCACGGTGTGACACAAACAACAAAAATGAAACTGGCTGGCAAAGATAAGAAAACGTCGTGTGTGCGCGCACGTGACCCAACCACTTGGCATATTAAACGCCCTGCAGTGCTATCAGTACCGCACAGTGCGCTCACCAGGGTCCCCACACTGCGCGACATGGCGGCGAATACCATGGACACGACGGACTACGAGTACTCTGAAGATGACTTCAACGGAAGCGAGAACTACACATACCTGTATCCTGACTGGCATGAGTTATTGGATTGTCCTCAGAAATCCTTGCCCTGGCAGTCCGTCATTATACCTACCCTCTACTTTCTCATCTTCTTCACTGGCTTCATTGGGAATCTGTGCGTCATCGTCATCATGGCCTCCAAGCACAAGAACAGGAGGCTGGTGGACACCTTTGTCATTAACCTGGCCGTGGCGGACTTGGTCTTCGTGTGCACTTTACCGTTCTGGGGGATTTCGGCGGCGAAGGAAAACCAATGGGACTTCGGCGATTTCCTCTGCAAGTTTAGCAGCTACGTCATCGCCGTGAACCGCTTCTCCAACATTTTTTTCCTCACCTGCATGAGCGTGGACAGGTACTTGGCCGTCGTGCGGATGCTGGACTCCAGATACCTTCGCAGCAACCAATGCGTACGCTTGACCTGTTGCGTCATCTGGTTGGCGTCCATCGCGCTAGGAGTGCCCTCTCTTATCTACCGGAGGGTGGAGGAAAATGGCGCGGCCCGTTTGTGCACCGAAATCGCCGACTCAGCTGTTTTCAACGGGATCAGCCTTGTCGCCCTCTTCCTTGCCTTCGTGCTCCCAGTGGTGATAATAGTTGCCTGCTACTGTTCCATTCTGGTGAAGCTGCGTAACCCACCCGGCCTTCAAAACCCCAAAACCGAACAGCGCCGCAGACACTCGCTCAAGATTGTGCTGGTCATCATCGTGGCCTTCGTCGTCTCCTGGCTGCCGTTCAACGTCTTCAAAACCATCCTCATCGCCTGCCAGCTCCAGTTCGCGTCGCTGTCCTGCGCCTCTCAAACGACCCTGGCGAGGGGCCTGACCCTGTCCTCTTGCTTTGCCTTCCTAAACAGCTGCGCTAACCCCGCCATTTACATCTTCCTGGACCACCACTTCAGGCATCGCGCTCTGCGCTTCTGTCTCGGCTGGTTCGGCCCACAGATCAAGCGGCGGAGTGGAGCTCCAGCCGCGTCCTCTTCCGGGCTCACCATTGACAGTTACTCGGTGTCCAGTTACCCTCGCTGCCGCATGTCTTCAGTTCACTTGCAGTGAAGGACCTACTCTCGGAGACGGCGTTGCAGTAAGAGGTGGCAGCGGTTCGCGAGGTTTGCAGAGTTCGGATTTGGGGTGTCCTGGTATTTGGGGTTCAGTTTCCCAGCTTTTTTCCCCCCAGTGTCAGAACATTGACCAGATAAAAACCGATCTTGTCAGGCAATTAAAAAACAAATTCTGCACGCTTAAAACTGCGTCTGTGGATTGTGAGGAACCTTTTAGTATTTTTATATCATTCGGCATCATGTTGAGAGATTACTCGTGATTACTTCGTAGGTCATAAACCTGATTAATTGGAAATGTTTACATTTGTCTAAAACGCCACCTCGTTTTAATATGTTGTATGAAAACAGGAAAGCCCTGGGTATGACAATGAAAAAACGAAAGGTTCTGATTTTCAGCGCTCGCCACTCTGCACCACACCAGTTATCGTAACAGCAGAGAACTTGTTAAAGTCGCTTTCCAGTGAGCTGTACAACTTTCTCCGAATTCACTTTTGTTTCAATGCCATTTTGCATAAAAAATGCAATTTTGTATCAATATCATTACTTATTTGTTTTGCACAATCAATTATGGGAACATATACGCACAGTGCAAGAGGGAAATAGGCTAATAGACGAACGTTTCAGCGATATCATCTTACTGTCGCAGCCTACATGAAATTATTTTCTGCCATGAAAGGAGACCTCAGTTCGGGCTGCTCTTCTCATGCAGATGCAATAAGAAGTGTTAACCGCTGTCAGTTTCGCTTCAGAGGCTGAGAACTTCAAAAGCCCTCAGCTTTTTTGACTGAAGAAGTGAGATCATGCTCGTGTTTTGAAAATGCTTTCGCTATAGAATGTATTAGTTCACTGGGTACGTTTTTACTGTTCTTTCCGTTTTAACACAAATAATAAGTAGTAGCTTATACAGTATGTATAAAATGTGTATACGAAATAAAGATCAGTAGACGCTTTTCTAAATATGAAATGGACTGAAAATATTGGAGAAACCTTTTTAATTGTGGAAAAAACGGAAAAATATTTAAAAACAAATTACAATTTTAAACGTGCTGCATGAGTGGTTTTACTGTAGGTGCGAGATTGAGAAGAATTGTGCTGGAGTCTCGGACTTTTTTTACAGTTAGTGCGGATGACTTAAAGGAGCTAAAAATGACGTACATTTTATTGCAACATATTGAAACATTTTTATATTCACCTTCTAGGTTATAACTACGCATTAAGATTGAAATATTTTAGTAACTTCTGTTCAGTTCAACTGGTACTTCGTTATATTATCGTTATGTTTATTCGTGGCATTAGTTGATCTTCGCAATAAAACTGATCGCTCTTTGTATTATATTGTTTAACACATTTACAAAATGTGAAATTTGAAATCTCGTTACAAAAAAAGATCTAAAACTTTTGTAAACATTGGACATTTACTTCTAGACTGTCATTGTAATATAAGCTCTTTCAAAAAATGTTTTACGCAATTTTTTTACATTTTAAAATAAACGATCACGTGTGTTTTATTATGGTCTACCTATCAATAAGCAGCAAAACAACAAACCTCAGTATTTGTACAATACATATTTAAACTATCCATTCCCTTGTCCCGTCAGCTGTATGTTTACTGTAGTACGTTTACTACAGCCCTAGCATCAGAAAAACACCGTACGGTTTTACGTACAGTACTTCCATAGGCACCTTTACTTATGCTATCATGAACAAAAGAATGGTAATCTTCCTCCATAGGTAAGGACAGAATCTCCTTCGAAGTGTTAAGTCTAATATATCTGTCATATATACGCCGCACACGTTGTGTTTTTAAAAGATATGTCTGAATGACTATTGTAAATATCACTGTGAAACTCCGTTTAGGCGATTTGTTCAGTCCTGAAACTAGAGGGTTTCTACAGCACTATTTCACGTTTACACCACACGGTGTGGTGGAATTATTTTCATCCCAGCCAGTACTGCACAGAACATTACCACATATTTGGAAACAATTTCTTAGTCGCCAATCGCGACTGATCTTTTTACAGTCATTGAACTCGCTCCATGCTGGACTCGTGTGAACTGGAGATGACCATTCGTGCAGAAAATCAAACATTCTGATTTCACCTCCTATTTAGAGAAAAAAAAATGTTCAAACTCTTTTAAACCACAAACGCAATTATTGTATAAATCTAACACGGACTAATACGTGTTAATAAAAGGGAACCTTGAGGAATATGCCTTAAACCTAAAAATATTCCACATCTTAATTATGCATTAAGATGAAATGGCCGATAGTCGTACTTTGTCTGGGAATCTCTATATTTCGTGCTTCTTCCGTTGTTTATGCAACCGATAGAAAGGAAACATGATCTTACAGGTCTTAAATGAACTAGGATAACATTTTTCTAATGTAGGCAATAGCGATTTAACCTTTTTTTTTTAAATATGATACCAAAATGACTCAAAGAGCCAAAGATCGCTTTTGAACTCCAGGATTTAGTATTTTAAACAAAATTCTAAAAAAATTCTCCATATATAACGCATACATAAAAAAACGTTATTATTCATTCGATTATTTTAAGAAATAAGCATTCCAGCAGCAATGTGCCGCAATGGTCACGTCTGATTGGGTGTAGGCTGCAGCCTGGGATGTGGGTTCAAATCCCAGATGCTGTACCCCCGAGCAAGGCACCACAGGACTCGTCTTTCAGACTGCCTCAGTAAATGCCCTGTTGTGTAAACAGGTCTCCAAATTGGCGCAGTAAAAGAGAACGTGTTCTCAATTGACTTACTTGGTTAAGTAAAGTAATAAAAAGTTTAGTCACACATGAAGAGTTGTCACATCGCTGTAAAACATGCATCAAAGGAATCTTCAAAAAACAAAATGACTTTTTAATCTACTCATCATTGGGCCATTACCTTCTTCCATTTGACATTTTCAGTACTTGAGCAAACTTGGTCACGCTGGTCAAGGCCGTGTGGATATTGGGATGTATATTAGATATTAGAGGCGTTGGCGAAGCTCGCAAGGTTCTTGCTGAGAACAGAAACGACACTCACCGCTTCATGTAGGACCTCACAGGACAGAACCGCTCAAAGAACGCTGGCAGACAGCAGTCTTCTAGTCCCCTATTTATTGAAGAGAACAGGTCTTTTTCACGTGAGAAAATGCGTTGGAAGCTTACAAATTTTAGAGTTCAAGGGTTCATCTGTCGTCTCAAAATCCCCCACTTCAGGAGTGAAATGAATCATCTACTTTCAAACAACCCTGAGAAACTTGGATGGCAGCTTGGTCTGTGAGAAACTAGCAAGTGTGACATTCATGCTCATATTGTTTCCACTTTCTGTGGATGGAAGGAGGAGGAGGGTTGTGTAACAGGACTACTTTAGCAGTCTTGACATCTGTAGTTAAACATTTAGTGGGCATCCTTAGTTTCATATCTATAGAAACACATGCGAGGGCAGCAGGATAAGTTGGTGAAGTGTTTAATACACGGACTTCTTCAGAAAGAGCTGTGTGACTACAGCAGATGTGTCTGCTATGCTTTTTCCGATGGTGCAATGATTTACTTTTGGCAGCGTGATCCGGAGGTTAATCTAGTACCACTGCATTTCCCCCAGATTTAGGCAGTAAGTGCCCCAGCCCTGATAGGAGCAGCTTCGTGCTGTATTCCAACTCCTCTAGGGTACTACAGAAAATAAAATTGTGTCAAAACAGCTGATAAGATTTAATAAGAATTTGCCGTGTAACAAATGCATTTTGTGCTTGCATGCATTGTGTTCTCAGCCCTTATTCTGGTTTGTGCGCTTGTGTGTGGTTTGTGTCTTATGGTTTATTTCAGTTCAAAATGTTGTCCATCCATTTTCTTCTTCCAATTCTGGGCTGCTGGGGAACAGGCAAGCAACAGGGACAATGCAGAATACAACCTGGAGGGGAGTTGCCATTCCATCACAGGGCAGACACAAATGCATATTCTCCCTCCAGGGCAATTTTCCCCAGAAGCCAATTAGTATATCTGTGGACTGTTGGAGGAAGCTGTAACACCCAGAGGAAACCCACACAAACACAGGAGAACATACAAACTCCAGTTCAAAAATACACTTTATAAAACTGTTGTATTGGAACTATGTTTAACTCATAAATGTTTGACACATGTATCTGTCATATGTGAAAGCCACAGTACACAGTATAGCTTTGAGTCCACAGTAACCCCCAATCTCTTTGTCAAAGGTTGTGAAGGGAAAGTCAGAGAAATACTGTGCTTGTTGCTGGTTATGGGGCGGTAAAGACTGTTTTGGAAGATCCTAAAGATGGTGTGAACAAATACTGTATCAGCGCCCTCACATTGAGAGTGAAAAGCAACTGCAAAGAATCCCGTCTATAGAGGTACGTAAGTGTCTGTAAGGTATCCCTCATGTGGATCCTGTGCAGACGCAGGAGTAGGTAGATGACAAGGAAGGCGAACAATCCAATGCGAAAGGCGAGTTTGTGGTCCAAAGGAAAAAGGGGATTCCGAATCCAGGAAGTACGATTGAAGCAAACAATCCGAAATAAGAGGCGAGGTCGTGGTCAAAAGGAGTAAGGTAGGTCGAAATCCGGGAAGTACACTGGTGGCAAACAATCCGAGACAAGAGGCGAGGTCCGAAGTTGAAAGGCTAAAGGGAAGTCCAGAATCCAGAATAATACGAGGTACAGTAATCGCCAGGTAGTGCTCTCAACGAGTAGACTCAATAGCAGCGGGAAGCACGTTGGAGAGGCTTAAATACTGCAGTCCGCTGCACGGTAGGGCGTCTGGTGCCGAGTTAACACGTGCAGTGGCGCTTGTAATTATCTCCCCGCTGCTGGCCCTGATTAGCTCTCTTGGGGTTTGGTCTGGGCAGGGTGGCGGTCGTGACAGTGTCACTGTATCTTGTACATCTTATCTCATTCTGTGTGAAACTGAACCCTGCAACTTCACTTCCTTGAGTTTTAATTCACTTGAAAAAACAGTTCAAGATTCATTTGCCTCTTCTTACTCACTTCTGATATTTTATGTCTGGTCTGAAGATGTTACAGGGTAATATTTACTCATGTTTGATCAACTACTCTCTCACTCCCTGTCACCCAGAGTACAAGCTATAAGAATGTGGTGTCTGAATCTGAACTCTCTTGCTTCAGTTAGTTCAGCTCCTGAAAGCTGGGTTTACTCACGTGTGTGGGGTAAAGTGGATACAATTTATACACAATTCAAAATGTAGCATTTAAATCAAGGAATGTCATGTTGAAGTAGTTCGACGTACTAGTAAGATCTTTTTTAGATCACCGTGTGAAATTTTGGTCACCACATTTTAGAAAATATATTGCTGCTCTGGAATCAGCTCGGAGCAGAGATACCAGATACATTCCTAGTCTTGAAGGAAGATACTGTAGTACTCTGATGTAATCTGACATTGTCATCCCTGTCCTAAAAGAACTGAATCTTCTTTGGGCCGAACAGAGAAGAAAAGAGACTTAATTCAAAATCCTCAGAGGCTTCGACAAACTTGACCCAATGGGCATCTACAGAATTAGTAGCAAAGCCAAAGGACACATGTGGAAACTAAATAAGAGAGCACTTAAAACAGAGAACAGAAAACTCATTTTTCACAAAGTGTGGTGGGAGTATGAAACAAGCTACTCCACCATGTAGCTAAAGTTACTTCCCTGGTTTCTTTCACAAAATGTCATGGTGAGATTCTCATTTCAATTGGCTTTCACCAACCAAATGGCTTAGATGGACCAAATGGCTACCTCTTTGTAATAGTCTGTCATAGGTTCTAATGTGTTCCTTGCTGTGAAGGTGAACCATAAGGATGGAATGTTACCAGATGGTCTCTTTGCTTCCTTCCTTTGCACATTCTAAATTTAACAACAAGCAACCATTTCACTGAGCTATAGTTAAAAATAGTGTATTAAAAGCATTTTTTCCGCACTCCAGAGCAATGACCTTGCTATGTACAGTATGTGCAAAACAGTCTCTTTCATTTCTTCACATGTTTATTTTTTGCATGTGGAGCTGTGTGAAAGCAGTTTATCTGGTTTTCACAGCAAAGCAAACGTGACTAATAGCTTTCTGAAAGACTGTTCCTTCTTATTATATTCAGGAGGGGTGTGGCTGTATTGGATTGCCCCTTTATTAAGCTAGTCTGCCATCTTTATGGACAAAAATTACTTTTACCTCATGTGTTTTACTGGTTCAGTGTATTGTTCCTCACATTCAGTCTTCAGAATGGGGCTTTGAGGACACTGAAGGAGCTGTGCAGCCTATCTTGGAGCAGAGATAAAAAAAATAAATTCCATTTCACCTGCAAAATCACTTTTAATTAATTGAAGGAGACAGGAATTGCCTCAGTCTTAAGGGACAACTCCAACAATTTAAAGACAGTTCAGGATTAGGATCTTATGCTCTGATTTGCAGGAAGTTGCCCATAGTTACAGTGTGTCAAAGGTTACCACGATCAGGTGATGCACAGGCAGTGACTCACTAGTAGAG